CCGCCCACACCTGCTCCTAGAACAGGCCCCGCCTTAACTGCACGGCCAGGACAAGCCCCGCCCTCTCTCTCACCTGAGCCCCGCCCCTAGACCAAGCCCCGCCCACACCTGCTTAGAACCTGTCCCACCTCCACTGAGCGGCGGGAACAAGCCCCGCCTCCAGACCCTTCTTCGCGGGTCGCAGAACCCACCCTGGGCTCAGCCTCTGCCCAAAGGTTCCTGGCTCGTACCTGGCTCCACCCTGTCCCTAAGACAAACCTCGCTTCCATATCCCTCAATGCGTCTCAGCCCTTCCCTCTCTCAGTGCCCCACTGCTCCCAGCTTCCCCGCCCTGTCCTTGCTGGAGCGCCACCCCGATCCCCCTCCCCTGTCCGTAGTCAGCGCTGCGGATCCCGGACTCCAGTTCCCGTGGCTCAGCTACCTCTCCCGCCCCAGGGCATCCTCCGCGCCCGGGAGACTAACCCCTCTTGATCGGGCAGGGCAGCTTGAACTCGCCGGCAGAGGACACGAAACGGGACCAGTCCTCGATGGCGCGTGTGAAGCTGGGCCAGCTGATTCGGTTGATGCCCGGGGGGATGGGCGCCAGCTTTCCCTCGCGGCTCCTGTGGCGGATCTTCTGGCCGGTGGCGGTGATGTCCTGACCGGGCGATGGGAGTCAGGGCCCCAGGGGCAGATGCAGAAGCCTGGGAGGCCGACGCAAACTACCCTGGAGGGCGGAGCTGACACTTGGCTCATCTGACCGAGGGGCGCCTGAAGCCCCAGATAGAGATGGGAAGGGGACCAGGATCCCAAGGCGGCGGCCGAGGAAGTACCCAGAATAGAGCCCAAGACTAGAGGCGCCTGGGGCTGGGTGCAGGCGAGACCTTCTTCCTTTCCCCTGAGCAAACCCAAGGCCAGGAGCAAAGGACACTCACTCACCAAGCACTGCAGGGGTTTGTTGGGGACACCGAGGAGTGTGTAGTGTGCGTTGTCAAAGTCATCTGAAGAAGGAAGAGAAAGGGAGAGGAGATGCCTCCTGCACAGCAGTCACAGGCCCACACCCAGAAGAGGTTTGGCCCACACTGCTTAAAATTTTTTTTGGGGAAAATATTTGACAACTTTAAGAAAACTAAGATAAAGTGGATTTTTACTTAATATGACTTACAACAGAATAAACTCCAAAAGATCAAATATTTCAATATTAAGGAAAAAGAAACTATAGAAGTACTAGAAGAAAACATGGGTAGCACTGGCCAGTGTGGCTAAATTGGTTGGGTATCATCCCATGCACTGAAAGGTTGCTAGTTTGATTCCGAGTAGGGGACATGCAAGAGGCAGCTGATGGATGTCCCCCCCCACCCCCGTCTCCCTCCTCCTCCTTTCCCTTTCTCTCTCTTAAAAAAATCAATTAAAAATAATCTTCAGAAAAAAGAAAAGAAAGAAAACATGGGTAAATTTCTTCCTAATCTTGGGGTGGGGAAGGCTGTGCCAACTCTAAATCTGGGAGCCTTAAAGAAAAAGTTGATAACTTTGGCTACATAAAAATAAACTTCTGCATTGCAAAAAACAACACGAGAAGTCAAAAGACAAATGGAAAAAATATTTCCACGTATTTTCCAGATGGAGAGAGGATTGGGCAGAAGTTGTTATTAGTGCTTTTATTATTAATTCCTGCTGCTGCTGCAACTACTGACCTCTGCACAGTTGTTCTCCATGAATAATAATAACATCTACATCAATATGCTCCTGTTAGGTGCCAGGCACTAGTCTAATTAGTTTTCCTGCCTTACCTCATTTGAACCTCGCACTGGGCCTTGGGAGGCAGGTCCCATTATCAACCCCGTTTTGCTGATAAGGAAAGAGAGGCTCAGACCTTGTGAGGTTTCCTGGGTAGGAAGTAGCAGAGCTGGGACTAGCCCCTTGGTTGCTTCCACCTGCCACTCATGGCCTTGCACTCCCAGGTCTCTCTCCTCCAAACCCTTTTGCCAAAGACCCAGGGGCCCCAGCAGCGGGCCAGGCGGTTTGACCTTTGCGGCAGTAGGTGGTGGTCTGGCAGTGCTCGTCCGACAGGCAGGCCCTGGCATTATCCATGTCCATGCGGCGCAGGCTGGGCAGGGCCGGGTGGTAGAGCTGCTGCTTCACGCTGGCCAACTGGTTTCTCCGCCGCTCCATCGGGAGCAGGATGGCTGGGGACGCGTACACGTGGGTGGAGCAATCGTCCCAGGGCACCAGGTCGATGATGCGGGCCATAGCTGGGGAGCAAAGAGTACAACGGGGTTCACCCTGGGCTCAGGTCAGCCAGACACCCCTCAGCATCAGAACACCACCTTGGCCAGTGCTGATTTGTCTTCTGGTCTGACATTTATTGAGCACCTACTGTATGCCAGATCTTTTTTATGTTTTCACGAGCTCCCTGTGTGGTGGCAGGGACAATCGGACACCATGGCACACCCAGGATGTGCTAAGGGCTCTGACAGGGTCAGGACGGGGGGTGTGTGTCTGGGGAGGCTGGGGTTGTGGCATTCGGGGAATGGTCTACAGGAGGTGGCATTTGAGTCTATTCTTACATAAGGAGCAGGAAGCAGCAGCAGCAACTGGGTTCAGATTTAGCTCAGAGTGAGAACTAATTATGGACTTTTGGCCTTAGCTAAGGCCTCTGGCATTTACTCAAAATTCTACAGGGAGACAAAGGCATTTTAAAGAAGGGGAGAGACAAGATAGATACGAACTGGGGAAACGTTGCTGCCTGGGCAGCGCCTCCCTTTAAAAAGCAGGCATTCCCAGGAGCCATTCCGCCTGTTCAACTGTAGCGAGGATTTGTTGACTCAGCTCATTTCCTTCCTGAGCCCCGTTAGAGGCGAGAGACGGAGGTGGTGGTAGGTGGGCAGGAGGCGAGGACCTAGGGCCATGGAGGAGCAGGGCGAGGAGGGCACAGGGATGGGCTTGCAGGGAGAAAGACAGGGAGTGGAGCAGGGAAGGAAGGACTCTCTGCTCCTGTCCCACCCACAGTGGCTACCTGATCTGCAGGGCTCAGGCCCCAGGTGCTCGGGCTTATAAGGATTTTCTCTTCTTCCAGCTGCTCAGGGCGGGGAAGAGATAGCGAGGTGGGCCAGGCCCAGTGCCTTATAAGACAGTAGGGGAATAAAGAATGTTCTGCAGACACAATGCCCATTGCAACCTGATTGTGAGGGCACCCACTCCTTGGCAACCCTGGCAACCACAGGCCCCTGCTGCCAGGTGTCCTCTGTCTGCCCCCCCTGCCCCCCATTTCAGCCTTCCTGAAGGTTGCTGTCCCCTGGGCCACAGCACAGGCCAGGCATGTTGGAAAATGTCAGACAGGGAGCCGGGCTCCCTGGGGATGGCCATGCCAGGGCTGGCCAGGGCAGGCGGTGTGATCCTGGACTAGTTACTGTCTCTCTCTGGGCCTCAAGGCTCCCATCGGTGTTAAGCAAGGGCCCCAGGCCCTGCCACGAGGGGTGTCTGGGGTCTGGGAGGGCCCTCCCTCCCTGCAAACCTCGGGACGAGGGCACTGCCCTGCCTGCCAGCCCTTGGGGCTCCAGGGGTGGGGATTAGTGGCGGCCGGTATCCAGGGTCAGCATAAGGGGATCAGGGAGAGCGGTGGCCTCAGCAGGACGGGGATTAGCAGGTGATACACCATCCCAGCCCCCTGCAACCTCCCTCCCTCCTTCCCAGAAAGCAAGGTCACCAGTGCCTAAGCCCAGCACCCCCAAGCCCTGGGGCCTGTTACCACCTTGGTCACAACCAGTAGAGAGAGACCCAGGTGAGGGACCCCTGGGAGAGCCTGCCCTATTTGCATATACTTTGCATATGTACTTTGCATATGCCTGCCCGGGTGCTGAGCCTGTGAGATCACGTAGGATCTGGCTCCCCAGTTTCTCCTCCCTGCAGGGCTCCATACAGCCCCAGGGCAGCATCCCCAAGCCCGCAGCTCACGGAAAACTCCCCCAGAGTTGACTTCAGTCACACCCCCCCCATTTATTTCTAACTATTTTAAAGCTGTGAAACGTAACAAAATCCAGAAAGTGCATAAATAATGTGACCACAAAAATTTATAAAATGAGACCTCATGTAACTACCACGCAAGTCAAGACATCGGGCACTACTTTGCAAAAAAAGTTTAGCAGTTTCTCAGAAAGTGAAACATAGCCTGGCCAGTGTGGTTCAGTGGTTGAACGTCGACCTATGAACCAGGAGGTCACGGTTCGATTCCCCGTCAGGACACATGCCCCGGTTGCGGGCTTGATTCCCAGTAGAGGGCCTGCAGGTGGCAGCTGATCGGTGATTCGCTCTCATCATTGATGTTTCTCTCTCTCTCTCCTTCGCCCGTCTGCTCTGAACTTAAAAAAGAAAAAGTGAAACATACATTGACATATGACCCAGCAATTGTACCTCTAGGAATCTTCCCAAGATAAATGAAAAGATATGGCCACACAAAGACTTCACGCAAATGTTCATTCTTTATAATGGCCCAAGAGTGGCAAGAACCCAAGTGTCTGTTGACTGGCGAACAGATAAACAGACTGTGTTATAGCTACACCATGGGATACTCTTGAGAATGAAAAAGATACCAAGATACGTGCTATCATGTGGATGATCCTCAAAAACATTATGCTAAGAACATTATGAAAGAAATCGCACACGAAAACACTCCACAGATTGTGCGATCCATTTATATAAAATGTGCGTGCAAGGCAAAGCCTGGGAGACGGAAGGCAGCCTGGGGCTGGGGTGGGACGGGAAGTCACAGGAGGGATCTTGGGGGAGGGGGGGAATGGGTGATGGGAATGTTCTAAAACTAGAGGGTGCTAATTTCCTAGCTCAGGCATTTTACTAAAAAATCACTGTACACTAAAACGGGTGAAATTTATGGCATGTAAATTATACCTCTTAAAGTTGTTCTAAAAAAATAGCTGCCAACTAAAGAAAGCAAAAAACAGAGGAGCTTCCAGTACCTCTTCCAAGTCACAGCCCCAACTTCCTACAAGTGGTGACCCGTTTTCCTGCTACATAGTTTAACCACGGCTTGTCGTTACCTATGGTCGCAGCCACAGACAAGACAGGCTCATGTGGTCCATCACCTATAACCCAATCTTCTCATGGCTTACAGGCCTACATGACCTGCCTGGGCCCATCTCTGGGCCTCACCTCCTGCCACTCTCCCTACACCCACTGAGCCCCGGCCCCGGCCCCTCTCCTCCTCAGGTGCATCCAAGGTCATTCCAGCCGCAGGACCTTCACCTTGGCAGTGTCCTCTGTCTGGACCACCGTTCACTCAGGTCTTGCTTTTCATGTCTCAGCTCACATGTCTACCTCTTCAAGGACACCTGCCAGCCCCTACTCCCTGCCCTGTTTGCTTCTTTCATGGAATCAGCAACATTTGCAATATTTCTTTTTTAAAAATATGTTTTTATTGATTTTTTTTACAGAGAGAGAGGAAGGGAGAGGGAGAGAGAGATATTGATGAGAGAGGAACATCAACATCAATCAGCTGCCTCATGCACACCTCCTCCTGGGGATCGAGCCCACAACCTGGGAATTGAACCGTGACCTCCTGGTTCATAGGTCCATGCTGAACCACTGAGCCACGCCAGCTGGGCTGCAATATTTCTTTACTCCTCCTTAATCTGGTTTACTTCTGTCCCCTCCGTTGAATAGAAGCTCCAGGAGGGCAGGCCCCGTGCCTGTCTTGCTCAATGGGCCAAGGTTGGCACGCTGTTGGGCGCGGAGGAAGAGCTTGAGAAATCCTGTGGATGATCAAGTTAGGCTCCCACCCCTTTGCTGAACACCCCTCTACCCCTCCGCCCGTCCCGGTCCTGTCGCCTCAGCGTCCCTCTTTCCCGGGCCTCTGTCCCTCTTGTCCTCCTCCCCGAGATCTCTGTCTCCCCTCTAGGGTCCCACCTCAGTTCAGGGGGCCAGCTCACCCGCAGTCAGTCACCCCTCAGTCCTCGGATCCTTCCTAAAGGTCTGGCCCCGGACCACAGCGGTTCGGGCAGAGCCTAAGGCAGGGGCTGCTGAGGCCCCGCCCTGCCCCAGCTGCCCAGGATTCTAGGATTCGGGACCAGAGAGAATCCGCCTGAGTTCGGCCTTGGGGCTCGGGGACTGGGGTGTACGGCCACTGATGACCGAGAGTGGACAAGCCCCTGCCACTTTGAGGAGTCTTCCAGGATCAACCGGGGACCCCAAGCTGTCATTCTCTGACCAGCCACTCTGCAGCTTGGCCAAGGTATGTGGGGAGCCAGGCCCCTGGGCCCCCCAAGGCTCCCAAATCTGTCCCCCCCCCCAGACTCCTTGCTGGCCTCTAAGGGGGCTGCTGTTGGCTCCCTGAGCGTCAGCCTCCTCCCCACCACCCCACCTCCCCACCCCCATTTGGCACCTGCTAATCCTTTGCACACGGCCCTGTGCTGTGCTGTCAATTAAGGGCCCACCTGCCCGGTGCTGTCAATTAATCCCCGTGTCTGAGAGGGCAGCTGTGAGTGGTGGGGAGCAGGCACTTCCTGGCTGGTGCCCGGCCTCAGAGCAGGTAAGTGGGGATAAGGTGGTGGTGGGCCTGCTGATGGGGTCCCCACGCTCTCCTGCTAGCGAGGCCTTTAGACACGGAGAACCAGGCGAGGCTGAGCACCCAGGGCTTCCCTCCCCGCCCCCCGGCCCTCCCCGCGCGGCTCAAACCTTAGTGTGCATCCAACTCCCAGGGCAGCTTGTGAAATGCAGATTCTAGGCCCGCAGAGGGCTTGGGGGCCTAGGAATCAACATTTCCACCAGCTCCTCACAAGATTCGGAAAGGCTGGTCGGAAGGGGGCCCTGAGAGGGACAGTTCAGGACCACAGTGGTGCCTGGGCCCCAGCCACTGTCTATCCCCACCCAGCAGGGACATGGATGCCTGGAGGGGTCATGTCTGGCCCAAGTTCACTTTTTTGGAGGCTGAGCCCCTCATAGGGGAGGCTGGCTGCTGAGGCCGAGTGGGGACGGAAGTCAGAGCTGTGAGCAGAAGGAGACAGCATAGCCATGGGCTTCAGGGAGCGGGGCCCCGGGGCAGGGATCCTGGGCCCGGGCCTGCCCTTTTCAGCCAGGGGCTGGGGTCCTTGGTGGAGCAGGGACCGAGGAGCCCTCTACCAACACCTGGCTGCCCAGGGCTGGGGCGGGCACAGCCCGGAAGGGACCATTCAGGGCTGGGAGTTTGCACAGCCTGACCTGAGTGGTGCCGCTAGGCTAGGCCCTCCTGCGGGGATCTGATCACGGGGGAGCGGGCTCCCTGTTCCCCGAAGGTAAATGATACCAGAAACTGAACCCATATAAGGTAGGGCTGACCTATCCCAGTAAACCATGCACAAGGGGCTTCCCTGTCATTTTACTTTAAAATATTGAAATCATGAAAATAGGTTAATTTTGTCCTCCTGTTGAGGGATATTTGAATTTTTTCATCTTCTGCTATAACACTGTTGTCATCAGTCTCTTTCTACACATGTGTTTGTGGGCCTGACTATTGCTACTTGGAGATATAACTGCAAACATATTTTAAAAGAGGAGAGGAAAGGGAGATGTATAATCCACCAAAGCGGCCCCCAAGTGGTGGGGAGGCCTGAGGACTCTGTGCTCTCCAGGTGTCAGGATGTTGGGCTGGGTCCAGAGGGTGCTGCCTCAGCCCCCAGGGACCCCACAGAAGACCAGGATGGAGGAGGAGGAGGGGGCGGAACCAGAGCCGGAGCCCGACCTGGAGGTGGAGCTGGAACCAGCGCCAGAGCCTGACACAGCCCCCCAGGAGGCAAAGCTAGAAGGCGAGTCGCTGGTAAGAAGGGAGGGTAAGGGAGGACATGCTCCACAGGGAAGATTTCAGGCTTTGTGGGTCATGCCACCTCTGTTCATTACTTAACTCTGCCACTGACGTGTGAAAACAGCCATCGGCAATACGTCAACGAATGAGCCTGGCTGTGTTCCAATAAAACTTTATTTACAAAATGCGCAGCAGGCTGGGTTTGGCCTACGGGCGTTGTTTGCCAGCCTCGAGAGTCTAGAACAGCCGTGGGCAAACTACGGGCCCGAGAGCCAGATCTGGCCCGTTTGAAATGAATAAAACTAAAAAAAAAAAAAAAAAAGACCGTACCCTTTTATGTAATGATGTTTACTTTGAATTTATATTAGTTCACACAAACACTCCATCCATGCTTTTGTTCCGGCCCTCCGGTCCAGTTTAAGAACCCATTGTGGCCCTCGAGTCAAAAAGTTTGCCCACCCCTGGTCTAGAACAGTGGTCGGCAAACTCATTAGTCAACAGAGCCAAATATCAACAGTACAACGACTGAAATTTCTTTTGAGAGCCAAATTTTTAAAACTTAAACTATATAGGTAGGTACATTGTTATTAACTTAATTAGGGTGCTCCTAAGCTGGCCTTTGCTAAAAACGTCCTCAATTTGATTGAGGTACGTTCGCTGAGGTCAACCCTTTCCAACTCTCCCATCCACACTCGTCTTGTATACTTGTTTCGTCTATCTCCTTTCGTTCATCCTCTCTATGTGTCCAAACCATCTCAACATACCTTTCTCAATCCTCGACACTACATCTTATTTCACTCCACAACGTTCCCTAAAATTAACTTAATAAACTTCACTTAAAGTTTTAAGTCAACTTCGCATTGTACGTGCGCCCCCGCACGTGGTATTTTGTGGAAGAGCCACACTCAAGGGGCCAAAGAGCTGCATGTGGCTTGCGAGCCGCGGTTTGCCGACCACTGGTCTAGAATAGAGCTGCCGAAGTAGCCAGGGCATGGGCTGTTTGCTAGCAGTCTACCCTGAGACTAGGAGCTTCTGGAATGAGTCTACTACATCACTGAGCGTGCTGCTTAGTTCAGTTGGTATTTGTTTGGTGCTAAGACTGTCTCAGTGGGGGTGTGATAGGCCTGGGGACCACTGGGGGGGTGTGAGGGCCCCGCCCTGGATGAGGGGCCCTTGGGGCTGGGAGGAAGGGCGTGTCCCAGGGGGAAGGTGAGGCCGCCAGGATTTACAGAGACGATTATGAGAGTAGAGTTGTTTGGTCGCGTGGGAGGTGGAAGGGTTCCTTACGGGTGGGTCAGGGACTGCCCCTGCTGGAACCAGACTGACCTCTTGAGGGCTCACATGGTCCTATCTGAACCCTCCAGCCACCCGAGAAGCCATTGGAAGGGGAGGAAGGAGCTGTGGCTGCCCCCGGCCCTCAGGGTGAGTGCTGACGCCCAGGATGGCAGGGCCCAGGTGGGACGGGCTGTGTTCTCTCTCAGCCTGTAGAGGAGCCTGGTGGCTGGCATGCCCGCTGGGCTCCTGGGCACTTTGTAGCTGAGCTGGAATCCCAGCCTCCTGACCTGCTTGGGGTTCTCCCCTCTC